TTCCTGGATTCAGGCCTTGGATTCTGATGCTGATACTGAACTTCATCTTCGCAGTGTTGGCTGGCGACTGTCTATAGGACTTTTTATGCCTGACTGGAACTGACGCTGGGTTGGTGGAGGGGCCAGAACCCCCTGCTCCAGACATTCTGTGAAGCGTGCTAGCAGCAGCAGCAGCAGCCTGCCTAGGAGTGAGCCGAGCCTCCAGAAGGTTTTGGAGGGAGGGAGCCCCTCACAAGAGAGTTGTGTGTAAACACAAGAGCCGTGGGATCAGAGGACAGATCCTCTCACGCGGCAGCGACTGGTTAGAGGGAGGCGAGGGGAGCAGAGGAACAGAGGGGCGGTTCTGCAGACAGCGCCTTTTCTTCTTACGGGGTCCAGTGTGAGGAGGACAGCCACTAGCTTCGAGGCTTTAAAGGGGGGCTAAACAAGCTCACAGCCTACGAGGGCCAAAGAGCACCCCCACGTTCAAGGGAATGGGGGCCCCCTAGATACTAGTTGCTGGAGGGCAACAGGAGGCGGTAGCCCTGCTGGCAGACTTCCAAAGCGCACCTGGCAGCCCACCCTGGAAACACGATGCTGGACCTCTGGCCTGATCCAGCGCGCCTCTTCTTATGCTGTTCATCATGAGGAGATGAATCTGCAGATGTTTACACCACACCACACCACACCACACCACCCCCGCAGGTGCTCAGCGGTTACACCTGATCAGCTGCAGCTACGTCAGTCCCACTCTAGGGCCTGAAAAGGGCACAGTTGCTCTAAAGCAGGAAGTCGCTGGTCATTCTGCCCATGCGGCCCAACTGTCCGTTAAAGGCCAGCAACAGTGCTTGCGGTGGTGGCGACTGGGTTGGCTGTTAAACCAAACAAAACGCAAGCAGCGGTGAGAGGTCAAGCACAAGACCTGTCCTTGTTTCCATCAGGATCCACCCTGGTCAGAACCTGCCGAAGAAGACAGTCAGATGCTTGAAGAACATGCAGTTGACCCCCTCCTACTGTACACGGCCCACCTCTCTGAGAACTGCCTGCATCTCTTCCACGTCCCCCTCAAAGGCTGCCTCCAACATCCGCTTCTTCCTCTGCTGCTCCTCTCGCTGCTTCTTTTTCGCTTCTTCCTCTTTCTTTCGCTCCCGCTCAGCTTCCTCCTGCTCCCTCTTCACCAGTGCAACAAAGGCCTACAACAGAAATGGGAATGTCAACAGACAGAGGGGAGGCAGAAGAGAGGAAGGGCTCCCCCTGGGGCCAGGAAACTCAGCAGAAGAGCATCAAGGCAGAAATAAGCGGCTGCTTGTCAGGGGAGACCATCCCACCACTCAGCATCCCCACCCCCCACCAGGTGCTCTTGTTTTATTGTTGCCTTGGGGGGGGGGGTTAAAGTTTTGTAAGCCACTTTGAGTGCTGCTTTACAGGTATGGAGAACAAAACATTGGGTCTACATGAAGGTTTCTTCTCTTCAGTGGGGAGAAGGCATCCAAACTGGTTAGGTCACACTTCCACTTGCCCCCGGCATGGCTATGTAAATTTTTGTATGCCCTCCTTGGTCCCAATGCCTTTCCAGACATAGAATAGCCTAGCTCAGCAAACGCAGAAAACTCGCCTGATTCATGAAAAATGTTTTTAAACTGAACAATTCTTTATTGTATATTTTTGGTCAACATCCAACAGAACTAGAAAAGGAACACCAACTGTCAGAAGCAATCCCATCACACAGTCCTCCCCATACAGTACTCGGGATCAGATTCAGTGGGAAGGAAAAAATGGATGCCCTCGACCCACCGAAGAGAAGAAACCTTCAGGTAAGTCCAATGTTTCCTTCTCCGTCAGTGAGGGAAGGCATCCAAACTGGTTGTATAACCAAGCTATACTGGGTGGGGTAAAACAACTGCAGCGTTAATCCACTAACACCTTTTGCAGAACCCTTCTCCCAACGGCAGCCCCTACAGGATATTGCTGGTCTGACAAAAGTAGTAAGGGAAGACCATGTAGCTGCCTTACAAATTTTGTCCATAGGAGCCCTAGTGGGAAATGCTGAAGTTGCAGCTGCCCTCGTTGAATGGGCTGTGATCCCAATGGGGACCCTGAGGCCCGCCACCACGTATGCTTCACGAATACACATTCTGATCCAGAAAGCCATGGTAGTCTTTGATTCCTTCTTACCTCTCTGGCTTTCTAAGAGCTACTATTCTCTTGATGTAAATGTGGAGGGCCCTCCCTCCTGACAACTAATCTGTGCCACATTTTTTCTTTACTGTAAACTGGTTTGGGGCAAAAGGATGGCAGTACAACCTGTTGATTCATGTGAAAAAGCAAATTCCCTTCTGGGATGAAGGACAGTTCTGAGAATTACAGTGTCCTTCTGGAACACACACAACTCCTTTCTCACAGATAATGCACCTATCTCCAATACTTTCCCAGCCGATGTAATAGCCATGAGGAACATCAATAGATACTTCAAGTCTATTTGTTGCAGGGGTTCGAAGGGGGGCTTTGTAAGAGCTTGAAACGCCTTAGATAAGCTCCAAGATGGAAATCTATGCTGAACTGGAGGTGCCAACTGTGTCGTGCCCTTAAGGTATCTCTTTATGTATTCATTTGTGGCAATATGACCCATGCCCCTATTACTTTGTACCGCCGCAATAGTGGCTACCTGTCTCTTCAGAGTGTTTGGGTGCAATCCCATTTTCCACACTGAATGTATAAATCTGATAATATCCTGCCTAGTAGGTTTTAAGTAATCTCTGGTCAACAGCCCATTTATGGAATGCTCTCCAAGTATAATTGTAAATGGGCCTAGTGGCCAGTCAACTGGCCTGAAACATAATCTCACCTATGTCCATGGAGAGATCTGTTAACATCAAGTCCTTCCTTTCAGTCTCCATGCCACCAGTTTTAGCCACCTGGGGTCCGGATGCATTATCAGTGCCTGGGTCAAGAGATCTTTTCTGTTCGGTAATCTCCAGGCTTCCATGGTCGAGAGTTGCATCAGTTCGGAGAACCAAGTCCTCCTTGGCCAGTAGGATGCCACTAGTATGACATCTGCCCCTTCCCTCCTGATCTTCCTCAGTACCCTGCTGAGGATGGGTGTCAGAGGAAAGGCATGTAGCCGTCCTTTTGGCCAGGGAAGTTGCTGTGCATCCACACCCTCTGCTTCCTTTTTGAGGAATCGTGACAGGAACCTGTGTACTTACTTGCTTTTTGTGTCGCAAAGAAGTCTAGTGCTCGTCATCTCCCAGAATACTTGATCGTTCAATGACCTTTCTGCTTAGTTGATGTCTTGCCGGCTTAGCCAATCAGCTTGAAGATTTAACGTTCCCTTGAGATGTTGGGCTCTTAAACTCTGTAGATGACTCTCCACCTAGTGGAGTATCTGTACTAACTCCTGATGTAGCCACAGAGCCTTTGTCCCCCCCTTGGCGATTTATGGGTGCCTTGGCTGTGACACTGTCCATTAGGATCAGCACCACCATGTTCTGGAGAAGGTGTTAGAAAGCTCCGAGGACAAGTTTTACTGCTCTGGGTTCTAACAGATTTATGCTGCTCTGTTGTGTTTCTTTCGAAGACCACCTCCCCTGAACCACCTTGTCTAGGCAGTGGGCTCCCTAGCACTTGAGGCTCACATCTGTCATTACTGTTATTTGGGAACTCTTGGACAGTGGAACTCCTTGGGTGAGATTCTTCATGTAAGTTCACCACCGCAGAGATCTCCTTAACCTGGCATGAATTTGCACTAACTTGTGTTTCCTCTCTCTGATCAGTTTCTGATACAGCAATAGGGTCCATTGGAAAGTCCTGGAGTACATAGATCCGAGAGTTCTGAATGAACTCAAATGTGAACTTGTGGATCTCCTGACAAAAATATGTAAGGTAGCTGGAAGGTAGCTAATGTCACTCCCATCTTTAAAAAAGGTTCCAGAGGAGATCTGGGAAATTACAGCCCAGTCAGTCCGACGTTGATACAGAGTAAATTGGTGGAAACCATTATTAAGGAAAGAATGAGTAGGCACATAGATGAACAAAACCTATTGAGGCAGACTCAGCATGGGTTCTGTAAGGGAAGATCTTGTCTCACTAAACCTGTTAGTGTTTTTTGAGGGGGTGAACAAACATGTGGACAAGGGGGATCCAATAGATATTGTTTACCTTGACTTCCAGAAAGCTTTTGATAAACCAATCTCAAATATCATGGGATAAAAGGAGAAGTCCTTTTATGGATCAAAAACTGGCTAATTAATAGAAAACAGAGAGTGAGTATAAATGGGCAATTTTCTCAGTGGAGGGTGGTAATCAGTGGGGCACCGCAGGGATCAGTACTTGGTCCACTGCTTTTTAACTTGTTCATTAATGATTTGGAGTTGGGAGTAAGCAGTGAAGTGGCTAAATTTGTGGATGATACGAAGTTGTTCAGGGTGGTGAAAACCAGTGAGGATCGTGAGGCACTCCAAAGGGAACTGTCAAGGATGGGCAAGTGGGCATCAACATGGCAGATGGGGTTCAATGTGGCCAAGTGCAAGGTGATGCACATTGGAGCCAAAAATCCTAAATATAAATACAGATTGATGGGGGTCTGAACTGGCGGAGACTGATCAAGAGGGAGATCTTGGAGTTGTAGTAGATAACTCACTGAAAATGTCGAGACAGTGTGTGACTGCAATAAAGAAGGCCAATGCTATGCTGGGGATTATTAGGAAGGGTATTGAAAACAGATCAGCCAATATAATAATGCCCCTATATAAATCAATGGTGAGACCTCATTTGGAATACTGTGTGCAGTTCTGGGCACCACACCTTAAAAAAGATATTATAGCTTTGGAAAAAGTGCAGAAAAGGGCAACTCAAATGATAAAAGGGTTGGAACACTTTCCCTATGAGGAAAGGTTAAAGCGCTTAGGGCTCTTTAGCTTGGAGAAAAGACGACTGAGGGGTGACATGATCGAGGTTTATAAGATTATGCATGGGAAAGAGCAGGTAAAGAAAGAGGTACTTTTCTCCCTTTCTCACAATACAAGAACTCGTGGGCACTCCATGAAACTGCAGAGCGGTCGGGTTAGAACGGATAAAAGGAAGTACTTCTTCACCCAAAGAGTGATTAACACATGGAATTCACTGCCACAGGAAGTGGTGGCGGCTACAAGCATGGACGGCTTCAAAAGGGAATTAGATAAGCATATGGAGCAGAGGTCCATCAGTGGCTATTAGCCACAAGGTATAGCTAGGGGCTCTGGGGCAAGTGATGCTCTGTCTTCTTGGTGCTTGGGGGGGGGGTCAACAGTGGGAGGGCTTCTAATGTCCTGGCCCCACTGCTGGACCTCCTGATGGCACTGGTATTTCTGGCCACTGTGTGACACAGAGTGTTGGACTGGATGGGCCTTTGGCCTGATCCAACATTGGCGTCTCTTATGTTCTTATGTTCTTAAATGTAGGAGCAGGACCAGGGTACTTTAATCCATCAGGGA